TTGCCCTACCTAATTTTAGATTGTTACTAATTTTTGGCTTATCATTATTCTAGGTTGTAAATATTTTAGCTTGTCTTCATTTTACCTTAATTTGTCATTATTATAGCTTATCTTTATTTAAGTTAATCGTTGGTCTAGCTTGTCATTATTCAAAGTAAACCTCTTTTTTAGCTTGCATTTATTTTAGCTTGTCTTTATTCATACTAACTTATCCTCATTTAAGATTGTCTTTATTTTAGCTTGTCATTTTTTAAACTTGTTTTTATTTTAGCTTGTCTTTTTTTTGCTTATCTTCATGTTTTCTTGACATTAGTTTAACTTGTCATCATACTGGCTTATCATCATTGTCTTTATTTTAGCTTGTTTATTTTTAACTTATTTTTAGATTAGCTTGCCATCATTTTAGCTTACCCTACCTTATTTTAGATTGTAACTATTTTAGCGTATTTTTCTGCAGTTTAGCTTGTCATCCTTTAAGCTTGTCCTTATTTTAGCTTATCCCTATTTTGTCTAGCTTCTCATTATTCTAGGTTGTAAATATTTTAGCTTGTCTTCATTTTACCTTGTCCTAATTTTAGCTTGTCATTATTATAGCTTATCTTTATTTAAGTTAATCGTTGGTCTAGCTTGTCATTATTCAAAGTAAACCTCTTTTTTAGCTTGCATTTATTTTAGCTTGTCTTCATTCATACTAACTTATCATCATTTAAGATTGTCTTTATTTTAGCATATCATTTTTTTAACTTGTTTTTATTTTAGCTTGTCTTTTTTTTGCTTGCATTATTTTGAGCTTGTCTTCATGTTTTCTCGATATTAGTTTAGCTTGTTATCATTTTAGCTTGTTATAATTTTAACTTTTAATTATACTGGCCTATCATTATTGAAGATTATCTTTATTTTAGCTTGGTAATTTTTAACTTATTTTTAGTTTAGCTTGCCATCCTTTCAGCTTACCTTATTTTAGATTGTTACTTTTTTAGCGTATTTTTCTTCTAGAGTTTTATCTGTCTAGCTTCTTATTAGTCTACAGTAGTAGTCTGTAGGTTGTCAATATTTTGGCTTGTCTTGGTTTTACCTTCATATCAGTTTAGCTTGTTATCATTTAAGCTTGTCATCATTTAAGCTTGTCCTCGGTGTAGCTTGTCATGGGATTTCTATAATGATGATTTATACATAAAGTATGTTCGTTCAGACAAAATTAATTAAATAATGCATTGTCAAAAACACCTGCACATTTGCATTAAAATTAATGAACAAGTACAAAGTAGAAATATCAGCAGAAATACACACACACACATCGGTTTATAATTTATGTATTCGAACCATTTGTTATCTGAACTTTTATTCGAAACAATTCAATAGTATTTAGAGCCGGCCGGCAAAATAAACAAGTAAATCAAGTTAAATATGCGGTGGACGGTAATATATTTTCGCAAAAACTACTTTATACTACGTTCGGTCGGTCATTTTTCCTGCAGCAGCCCTGCACGTACACAATCAGAGTATAACGCATATTTCACATTGTGCCCAAGATCGCTCTGCTATGCTCTCTCTATGCAAATGAAATATGAAACTTTTTTTAACTGAAATCCATCATAAATTAGTTTTTACATTTAACATTTTTATACAAATTAAAGTATGTTAGTCATTTTTACACTTTTCAAAATTTCATGACCATTTTAACACCAAATTAACACCATACATGGTCTATATCGATACAAACCAAAATGGTGTTAAATAAGGTTCGTTGGTCCGGTGTAAATTCAAATACTAAAATGGTGTAAATTTAACTTTCACACAGTATTAAAATAAATTTTACCTGGTGTAAATGGACCCCCTTTTTAGTGTTATATATAATGTGTTTTTGGTCAAATTAAATCATACTACATAGAAAAAAGGAAACAGGTTCCTTGACGCATTACAAGTATATTACCAGTGGTATTATTCCAGAAAATTGAACCTTCAACTCGCTAGAGATAATATTTTTAGTGCGTTCCACCAACTTAAAATACTTCAAGTATTGACAGCTGTTTACACCTATTTAAGGTCTCTTTAGTATCGAACAACTTGTAGTGTCACATCAAAGCAAAGGACTACCTGAGCTTATATACTCTTCATGTAAGTCAACAGAGGCGAGATTTAAGAACATCACATTGCCGCGATCGGTACACACTATGTAACCAGGAATGCACGGCAAATTGTTTTAATCGTTTTAACAGAGTGCTTTAGGTTGAAGTAACTCTTATTTTACAAACAACACATTTAGTAAACTGAACCAACAGCGGGTTGGTTTCACTAAAGTTTTCTGGGTTAATTTAACCAATTTAAAAAAATAAAATAACTATCTGGTTTAGTACCGTCAAACTAATCTTTGTTTACATAATCTTCCCACAGTTGATTTAAATAAATACTTATGGGTCAACTTAATTAATATAGTTAAATGAACTAACTATTCCTTTTTTTCTGGTAGGTGCACTTCTCAAAAATTTTTATATAAACACGTGTTTGCTGTATAAAACATTTTTAAAAATAATTCATGGTGTTATATTAATACCACTTGGTGTTGGATTTTGACACCATTTTAAGATTACTTTTTACACCACAGATATTTTAAACAGTGAAATAATTTTAAAATTGTTAAAATACAGAGATCATTTTGCGGTGACAAAAAACACATCCTGTGGGATAAATTTTAAAATCAAAAGTTTGGATAGCACAATGTGGTTTAAGAGAGGGTAAGGCGTCCCTTTGCTAAGTGATTATGTTAATTCCCGCAAAAACAGTGTATTACAACTTGGGGGCAATTGCCAGACACATGGCGGCGACATCAACTCTACCAACTGCACAATTTATAGAGAGGTGGGGTCGAAAAAGTTTTCCGCTGAAATTTGCATAGAAAACAGTTCTCAATGTTTTAAAATGTTAAGGGTTAAAATTGCATAGGTTATGTACCTATGTTGATGGTATAGGTTATTTGCATAAATTTATTCTACAGTTTCCTGTAATTTTACAGTTACCAACATACACTGATTTTGAGCTACACTGTTATAAAAATCAGATTTGTTATCATTAGTTTGTAATTTGTTTCTTTTATTTTGTAACATAATTTTTTGTAGAAAACGGGTTTGTAATTATTTTAACAAAGGAAAATATTTTACAGAAAGTTTTGTAAAGGTAATATGCAAGGATACAGAATATTTTTTCAAATTTTAACAAATTATTACGTTAAAAAAGTACACGTGATTTCAGTCAATCAAAACATTTCCCACTGACAATACGCATCAACATGTTCAACTGACTTTAGCATCTGCAACTTATGTTTCTGCTTGTAACGTGTTCGTGACAACTGTCCAGAATGTTTATAATATATTACCAGAAATCTATTATTACTGTTATTCGGATTCCTTATACGTATTTAAGTGTGCGAAGTATCCGAAAAAAGATCTCATCACTGGGTTTTAAACTGAAATTAGGGTATACAGTGAAGTGGATTTAAGTTACGAAATACATCAGTAAGTGTTGTACTCTCTAAAACTGAATTAGTCAAAAACGACTAATTGTCAAAGCTTAAAAGCAGCCACTAATAATTCTCGTCAATAGCAATTTGTATCCCGGATATTTAGCAGTCAATTTCCATGTCAAATTATCCCCTAAATCAGAAAATGTCTTTAAAAGTTTTTGAGAAATAGTCAATTTTCCATATAATATGGAATTGACTATGTATCAAAAACTGTTCTCATTTCGTAATTTTTGACGGAGTTTTCAGATTTAAGGGACAATTTTAAATGGAAATTGACTGCTAAATGTTCGGGATACAAATTGGTATTGACGAGACGAGACTAATTTAAGATTGCCTAAAAGATATTTAGGTAGCACCAACATTAAGAAAGTACAAAATTACTTTTCAAAACACACTAATTATGCATTAAATGCAAATCTTCACTGATATCTTGTTTTTATGACATTTTCAATAAAATAACAATAATGGTAATAATTGAATGAAATAAAAAAGACCTTACTATGGACATACATGAATTCTTTTGTGTTTGTTTAAATGTACCATTTTTTCCCTTAATTTTCTCAAAATATTAGAGTTGTTCATTAATTATTAATGATTTTATAAAATTATTGCGTTTAAAAGCAAAAATCCTCTATATGAAAAACTAATCGAGCGAAGTAAAAAAGACCTTAGGATAATAATACATGATTTATTTTTTATGATTTAAAGTAACATACCCTCTACATTTTCTCGAAAAATTATATTTTTTCATAGATTATTAGTAATTTTAAAAAAATAATTCATAAAAGACAAAAAGCCTCTATCTGGAAAACTTTCCGTTGTTACAGGCAATAGAAGGAAATAAGTTGGGACATTCAAATTTGGCATGAATTTATTTTATTTTTTTTTTAAATAAATGAGGAGGCCGCACGATTAAAATTTCGACATAAGTCAAATAAGAACCACCCTAGTACTTATAATTATATTGTACCAAATTTCTTTATAATTTGATGATTCCAGAATGGTGTGTTATTTAATTAAGTGTATTTTTTTATTTTTGTGTTTATTTATTTAATAGGTAATTGAATAATAAAGTGACGTTTCTCATCAAAATTCTTTTCATTTAAGTTCCCAATTTCCAAAAAATACTTTTGTTACTGGGTCTACATAAAGGTTTGTAAAAATAAGGTCCATTTTGAAAATTCCAAGAATCATGGTTGAATTATTGATATAGGATTTTGTTAATACATCTACAAAATGTTTGTTATAATTATAAACTACTTATTCAATTAATTAGTTAAAAGATTACAGTTGGTTGTAAAAAAAGTTATGTGGATCTGGATTAACATAAAATCTGGTTAATATTTCGTTAAAATTAACAAATATTTTTTTACTGTGTAAATGCGATAGATCCAATGTATTTTTTAAGTATTTTTTCTGTTATAATATAAAAATTTCTACACGCCTAAAAAAAGTTTAGTTTTTAAACTTTTTAATATTTTATTTTAAAACATTTTATTTTGTTGCAGTATCCACAGAGACCCGCCATCCTGTGATAGTCTACATCCACGGAGAATCCTTTGAGTGGAACTCTGGTAATCCATACGATGGCAGCATCTTGGCCTCCTACGCCGATATGGTGGTAGTAACCTTAAACTACAGATTAGGAATTTTAGGTGAGCACATAGAGAGAAATAGAGAGGCATAAATCATATTTATAACTCCGAACATGTCGCGATATAAGTGCACGAGATTTACGTATATCCTTTTAAACATTTTTCGCGAACAGCGGCGTCTTTGTTTTATTTTATCCACTCGATTTTTCTTATTTTTTGCATATGTTTGTGTCACTGGTATAAGCAGAAATATGAAATATTATTTTGGTTCTATATTTTATTACTAGAAATGGGATTTTAGGTTGCCAAATTTATAAAAGTAGGTACCTAAATAGGTAAAGTTTTTCTTGTTTTAGGTGAGAAAATTCTTAAATTAGGTACGTACTTTACGAAAATAAGTACTGAAATAAGTAATTTATTATTATATAAAATGGTATTGAACAAGATTTTTATGTTTTATATCTTGTAAAAAAATTGTAATTTCAATATAAATTGTTTAATACTTATTTATGATAAAAATGTTTAAAAAAATACTTTCTCATAAAAAATCACAAATTTGCTAGATTTTCTGAAAATACATAAAATATTTAAATAAACATGATAACATGAGATTGATTGGAAAAACTTGAGATATCATGCAAAGGCATGAGACCTGGCAACATTAAATAGGAATGTCATATTCGCGTCGCTGTTCGCTGTACCAACCTCGGTACCAACCAATACCCATGGTACAAGAAAACAAGGTATGTTCTTCAGTAGGACGAGTTTTTCTTTACTTTGATGATATTTTAAATTTAAATATTATTCTCTTATGAAATTCATCCAAATTTTTATAAAATTTTTCTATGTTTAGATTAAATTTTCAAATAATTAGAAGATTACAGGTTACTATCCAAGTCAAAATATTAACATTTTAAGAAAATATTACCAATGAAAAAAACTATTTTATATGGTTTTTCAATAAAATAAAATATTTGAGAAAAGTGATCAGAAAAATTGTTTTAGTTTTTAGGTGAAATGTTTTAAATAATGCGTGAAATGTTTTCAATAAAATAAAATATCCCTTTTTAAAGCAAATATAAAAAATGACATTAAAGTATAGAGAATGAAATTAAAGTATAAAGAATGAAATTAAAGTATAAAGTTACAACAAGAAAAATATAAACAACCTTTTTTTTCTAAATTTATTTATTACAAAATTTTATTTACAAATTATTTGAAATTTAGGTTTAGTTGCCAAATAAAAACCCTAAATTGGCCACCATGTAGCCAACATTGAATAATAATAATAACAAACTAAACTTGTGAAAAATATTTTATTATGATATAGTATAAGCTGGTTTTTTAATGCTTTTGGGATGTTTTAATCCCGGGCCATTTCATTATCAGTTTCCGTTACGGTCTGTCCTTGAAGATCATTAGCTTTCTTGTCTTGGCACATTTACTGCATAAAGCAAAAATAAAGATGTAATTTTTATTAATTTTGTTTTTCAAATTTTATTTTAATTTCTTACACTGCAGTAATTAAGTTTCTGTTAAGGTCTGTCTTCAAAGATCATACTATGGTTTTGTCCTAGTTCTTGAACACTATAAAAAGAACTGTGATTTATATATTTTTTTTTCAATTTTATTTTAATTTCTTACAAGGTACTTGATTTTTCTTTTGATAGATCAGCTGTTAAAGTAAATCTACTTACTATCCTCAACATCAAATTTTTAAGCTCATACTAAGGAAATGTATTGGATTTCCAGGTTTTTTTCTTTTGGCATTGTTTTTATACCGTACCTTCATTTGCAAGTTATACATAGGGAAAATACATTGTAGGTGGAACAGACAAGTCGAAGTCGGCGCGGTCAGCTCGAAACGAAAATGTTCCCAGAAATTATTTTGACGAGTGGATGAGTAGACAAACATGCGACGTAACAGGTGACCTTGTTTACTGGCGATTAAAATTTTATTACGTCCAAATAATTTTTGAGAACTTTTTCGCTTTGCGCTGACTTCAACTTGTCTGGTCCACCTACAATGTATTTTCCATATGTATAGCTTGCAAATGAAGGTACGGTATATAAAAACAATGCCAAAAGAAAAAACCTATGTCTATAGATTTTCACTTGGCAGGTAGACATTTTTTACACAAAACTTTAAAATAGCTTAAAACAACTCACATCAAAATGTAAATAGTCAATATGGCGGCGACTGGGTGCTCCCACCTCTTCGCCAATCTGGTGGAGTGGTGGAAACAGATGCTTAAGAACATATCTTGTTTTCTATATAATAAATAACCTCATGGTACATAAGAATTATGTCATCCGAATAAGACAACACCGATATTACAAAAAATTTGGTTCATTTCTTTTAAAAATTTGAATTTAGGGAAAATCAATTTCTTCAAAAGGAATAATACCAAAATCCCATCTCTATTTATAACTTATCTAACATTGTCTGATTCTTTAAGTTTTAATATAGTATTTTTATTTTATATCTTTCAGGTTTTTTAAATGCGAATCCGGCCCCTCACCTGAAGGCCCGCGTCGCAAACTACGGGCTCATGGACCAAATTGCCGCCCTGCACTGGATTCAACAAAACATCGCACTGTTCGGAGGCGACCCGACTAACGTAACGCTAGCAGGACACGGGTCCGGAGCAGCTTGCATAAACTTCCTGATGATATCGCCCACCGTAATGCCCGGGCTGTTCCACAGAACGATACTGCTATCGGGATCAGCGTTGTCGTCCTGGGCATTGGTCGAGGACCCCGTCAATTACGCCGTCAAGCTGGCGAAGGAGGTCAACTGCAGCATACCGGAGGACGTGGGCAAGGACCACGAGGTCATAGTGGACTGCCTTCGGGAGACCCCGCTGGAGGAGCTCCTGCAAGCGGACGTCACTCCGCCGGCCTACTTGAGCGCGTTCGGGCCCAGCGTGGACGGCGTGGTCATCAAGGCCGACTTCGCGAAAGAGCTGGTGACGTACTTCAAACCGTCCGACTTGCAGAACTTCGTGGGCCCCGTGAACGCGAACATGAAGCGCTCCGAGGCCACGTTGACGCCGCGGGGTTCGAACCCCTACGACCTGCTGTTCGGCGTGGTCACCAGCGAGGCCCTGTGGCGGTTCTCCAGCAGCGACGTGCAGTCGGGGTTCGAGGGCGAGCGGCGCGACAAGATCGTTCGGACTTACGTGCGTAACGCGTACACTTACCACCTGAGTGAGATATTTTTCACGGTGGTCAACGAGTACACCGATTGGGAGAGGACGGTTCAGCATCCCATCAACACGAGAGACGCCGCGGTCGCTGCGTTGAGCGACGCGCAGTTTGTGGCGCCGTTGGTGCAAACCGGTGACTTGTTGAGTGCCAAGCCGCCGCAGCCCGGCCAGGAGGCCACCGGTGCCAAGACTTTTTTCTATGTGTTTGATTATCAGACCAAGGATGGAGACTATCCACAGGTATGTACACTAAGAAAAAGAAAGTCTTGATTTAAACACTTAACATGTTTACATATTAAATACAAACGATAGTATCAGCATCTTAAAGAAATAGTTTTAGATTTTTAAAGTTTTGCATGTTGAATTAAGCATTTTACAATATTGAAAGGGGTTTCTTTATTTTCCCGGGAAAAAACTTTCCTTTTCAAACTTGGCGTCAGTTACCTTGCGGATTTTCTAATAAAATCTCGGATGCGATGGTAGCTTTTTAGGATAAACAGTGGAGATAAAATTCCAGGGTTCAGGGGAATTTATAAATAAATTGAGGGGTTCCGTTAATACATACCGTACCTTCATTTGCAAGCTAACCATAGGGAAAATACATTGTAACTGGACCAGATAAGTCTTAGTCAGCACGAAGCGAAAAACGTTGTAGAAATGATTTGGACGCGTGGACGAGTAGGCTAGCATGCGCCGTAACAGTTGACTTTGCTTCATACATCGATGCTTTATTATTGTTTTTTATTTTGTGCGGTGTAAATCTGGTAAAATTTGTTTTAGTACGCATGTCTCGACGACGCATCCAAATCATTTCTGAAAAGGTTCTCGCTTTGTGTTGACTGCGACTTATCTGGTCCAGTTACAATGTATTTTCCCTATGGTTAGCTTGCAAATGAAGGTACGGTATATTGAAATAAGCCCTCGTATGTACAAAACAATAAAATTATTAATAAAATGAAATATGATTTTACAATAAACGATGAGGAAATGAATAATGAGAAACTAAAATATAAAACCGAAACTAAATACTCAGTATACGCGCGCGTCTCAATCGTGACAGCATGCTTGGCCAACCAGGTCAGCTTTGTTCCAGATTCTATGTTCTGGCTGTAGCTGTACGTTGTCGAGTTTTACAAAAAACGGCTATTGGAATTCTGCGTATCGCTCAAGTCAACACAAGTAAACAACAACAACCGGGTTATTCCGGCGGTAGTGCTACATATGGGCTATTCCGGGGGTCGTTTATGGCTTATGTGATTTAATATCATTTGGATCGGCATTATATGACACTGGGTAGGAATAGGGAATAGTATATTCTGTAAGAAGTTTGGAAACCGTCAAACTCGCTTTCGGCTCGTGTGACAAACTCTTCACTCGAGCGGAATATGCAATTCCAAACGTGTTTCAGACTATAATTTTTCTACGTTTCCAAAAAATACCATAGAAAAATAATTTAATTGAAAGGAAGTGAGGTTGGATCGGTCTAAAATTTGTTTGATATTAAAAACAGAGATGTCGCCACGAGTGTTTATTCTGTCATCCGATGATTAAGTAAGATTAAGATTTAGTTTGGGACAGTTCTAATTTTTTAAACTAATAATATGATAAGAATAATTTTTATCCCATATCCAATATTTAGTATAGTAAATTTACTATGGTCTTAAAACTTATACTGATATAAATTCTAAATAAGTTTAAGCATAACTTTTTATTGTTTCATTTTATGACGACTTTAAAAATGCACAACGCTTTGCCTAAAGCTTTGATAAATTTATATTTTATGCAGGGACATACTGTATTTATCATAAATCCATCCAGCCAGTTTTCGAGATAAATAAAGTAGATTAAACCGAACAACGTATCCATGTATGTAACTCCGCATAAAGAAGAGCACAATGCATGTTATAATTAAACAAGTTTCTCTCTGTCTCCCTGTTAATATTAATTCACTGAAACTGAAAATCCGACAAAAAGGCTTTAATTTTTTTCTTCTACGTTTCCAGCCATCATTTTATTTAAACAGTCGGCACATAATGCTCATAAATTCCCTTATTTTACAAGTACCCTTCAGTAAAATTAAAATTTATAATGCCAATATAATTCCATTATTTACCAGTGAATAAACGTCCAATAATATAAGTACTATAATACAATTAAATGAAGATTGAGAGATTCAAACTCTTTAGGAATTACTTTACCTAAATTATTATGTTGAGGGTTCTTAAACCTTTTTGAATTTATCTTAAAACAGTATAATTCTTAAAGGTTAATTGTCTTAAAACTACCTTAAAACATTTAAACAAGCCTTTACTGAGAATAATCATGTACACTTGAAAAATACACAGATACCAAAAATTATAATTTAAATATGTATAGTTAAAAAGATTAAGCAATTTGGGACACAATAATTTAATTTCACACCACACTTTTTTACTAGAACCCTTTTAAAATTCCTAAACCACCTTAACTATTAAAAATGTCTGTTGGTTCTCGAGTAGAATCATAAAATTTTTAAATGGCCCACAGCAAAATCCCGTATTATTCGCATACGTTTCCTAGAGCGGTGCAGTGTGCATTAAGAGGCTCCTTTGAATAGCATCTAAATTCTAGCTAGTCTATTAACTTTAGCGCCATACTGCCTACATATGCTACCCAAAAGACGTGCATAGCTCTGTATACCCCGCAACTATCGCGATACGTTTAGCAACACATGTTCGGTAATGTTCTAATTCCTCTATTAATGCTTTGCGTTACTCTTTATAACGCTCAATGCGTTTAAATTTTATGTTTGTTTTTATTTGTTCGTTTTATGGGCACTTTAAAAGTTTAGAGGATGAATAAAGCTGAGGCGAAAGCCTAGATAAAATATTTTGTACTTTATTATAAATTTATTTAGTTTTAAAGGTTTTAAAGGAACTTATGTCGTAAAGAAAACCAAATAACTATATTTGTTTTGTTCCAAAATTGTCAAATAATGACTACATTGCTCAAATGTGTTAAAGTTGTAATATATTTTTTTATTTATTCCAATTTCTCGTTACAAAATTATTCTAATAAAAAGTAACTAAACAAAAAAGCATGAATAGACAAATTGTCCTACAATAATCAAAACACTTTAATTTTTATCTATTTCAATTAAAAGCTTAAAATATTTCACATCATATTTAATAGAATGAGGCTGAGTCTTGTAGATCACAGATTTTAAGTCTAATCTGGAAAATCTGGGACGCCATCTTCGACCGATCCACTATTCTGGATAATTCTGATCCAGCTAAGTCCTTACAGCTACTACATAATGAGGTGGTGCCACATCTTCTTCAAAATGGAATTTATTTTCATCCAAAGCACACAACAATAATAATAACATTTCAAAATAAATTTTACTCTTTAAATTTTGGTTAATAATACCAATAATACAATCTCCCAAAATTCCTGGCATTAAGTTTTACAGGATCTGAGATATGGACTTTCATTGTTTCAATAACGACAAATTATTTGTTAACATTTCCATTTAGATAAAGAGTACAATCATCGCAAAAGCAAATGTTTTTAAGTTTTTGGATCTTAGTTGTTATCTTATTGATCAAGATTTTACAAAGTCTTAAACGCCTGTCTGCATTATCATTGCCAAGTTATTGTGGAATAAGCATTTTTAATGGGTGGTTTGTGATGTTTAAACACCTTCCAGGGAAAAGAGCTTTCTAAAGAGGCATCACAAAGGATGTTGCCATTTAAAAAAATTGAGGGGGGGTGGCTACAGCCTTATTGGTTTATTAGTGAAGATCATCTTTGTGGTCATACTGATTCCCCCCTTAACGGTTTTAATACGTTTGAATTATATTTCAGGTTTAGACTTACAGAGTATTGCTTGTTTTTAAATAGACTCCGATCGAAGAAACTGCTGCTCTATATTCTGCTTTGGCAGTCGATGTTGCTACAAGTTTTTGTTTTTGAGCATACCACACAATTGTAGTAATACAAGAATTCCACTTGTTGATTGTCCTGTGTAGTGGTGTCTTCATTAATCAGAGTCTGTTCAAGCAACAAGCTCAGTGTCTACATTAAATTGAATTCCATAATTTGTTATTTATTATATATTATTAAGACACGTTTTACCATTTTCCGATGACAACGGTTTACTGCAAAAAGAACATAAATTATTTACAGAAAAACTAATATCCGGCCAAAAAATTGTTGCTAGACACATAAGTCTTCCTATGACTATATAAACTTGCTTAGTAGTTTGTCATTTACAAAGTTTCCTTCTACTGTCATAATTGAATTGAAATTTCATAATATTATTTTAAATTTTTTATTTATTTGGTTTAGTATTTACCCATTTCATTTATAATTTTGCCAGCAATAAGTCCATCACCAACAAATAGACCGATGATACTTATGTCTTTATTATAATAAACACAAGAATCATCATTAGTATTATCGAATCCAATGTGTTTTATAAATGATGAAAATTCCTTATTAAAATTCTTTAAAGATGGCCTTAGTCCATAAAACATTTGAATAATTTGCAGATAGGTCCAATACCATTGATATAACCTTTAGGTTGATATTGATTCCTTTAAGGCATTAAGTTAATCCTATTAGTAGCTACAAAACTAATAATTAATTGAATTTATACATGACAAAAAGTTTCAGTGAAGTCGATTCCTTCTTTTTGTTCAAAGCTTCTGGCAACAACTCTTGCTTTTAGTTTACCATCTTGTTTCTTGCGTAAAATCCAGGTACAGGTGAAAGGTTTTACTTCTTCAGGAATATTAAACTAATTACTAAGTATTTATTATAACTTATAACTTGTTAGTCAAATTCTTCAGACATTGTTTTTTTCAATTTTCGTCTCTTAAAGCGTCTGATACGAAAATATCTTCAACTGCTTTTTTTCCTTCACCATTATATAGTCTCCATATTTCGCAGCTGCTTATGAATATTTACGATCATAAGATTTTGCGATTTTCTTAATCATCAGGATCCTAAATTTTCATTTATATTTTTAGGTAATTTACCTTCATTAATTTTAGAAAATCTTCTCCGAATTCTGTAATCTATCTTCTTCAATTACTTACCATTATTTAATTATTCAATTCCTAAAAACAGCGCTGCAGAGATTCAAAAAATGAAAGGGAGGATTTTTACGCCCTTACTGTTTACGATTTTTTGAGAGATTTATTTTGGACGGGAAACTTTCTTATAATGTGTCTTACACATTAAAGACAATTTTTGTACAGTTTTAGATTTAGCACGAATTCTTTGAGTGTATTGAAAAGTACTGTTTAAGTTAATTTAAATTTTGTGTTGAAATAAATGTTATTTTGTTTGCAGAGAATGGGTACTGTTCATGGAGAGGAGCTGCCTTATTTATTTGGAGCACCTTTAGTAGATGGATTTAATCACTTCCCGAAAAATTACACGAAATCGGAATTGTCACTATCGGAATCGTTTATGATTTATGTTTCAAATTTTGCAAGAACTGGGTAAGTACAAAATAAATATGTGCAGTTTTAGATTAAACATTTTTCACACAAAAGTTCCCACGCTTTGATCTTTTTCAATAATACCTAAAAACTTTATTGCAGTAATGTTTATTCATTTGCTGGTTCATAAATGTTTGTTTTCAGTTTCGATTGATATGCCAACATTTTTGATAACGCAATTACAAACACAAATAAACAAAATGTGTTTTAGCATTTGGACAAAACGTATCTAAATGTTTTCAATAAATCAAAAATTAAAAATACGACGATATACCATAAGTAGAGTTTTCAATACAGGGTGTAAATGTAATGACAGATTAAAAATTCAAAAATAAACAGTTCTTTATTCTTATAAATGTTTAAAATGTCCCCCGTTCACTTCCTGATACTTAAGTAATCTACTCTGTTTAAAACCTGTTATGTTCCTAATTTCTGCAGTTATTATATTTCCTAATTCATCTAAATTAGCAGGTTGGGTTTTAAACTCCATGTTTTTTAAATATCCCCATAGAAAAAAGTCTAGAGATGTTAGATCTGGCGACTTTGCTGGCCATTCTATGAAACCTTTTCTTCCTTCATTTAAATAATTCCGTACAGGAAGAGCATAGATACTTAGCAATTGAGACGTTGTGAATCATAGAAAAGACAATGGAAGTCTAAAAATTTGTTTCTAATCAACAAATTCTTACTAATTTGTAAATAATCGCCCTGTATTGAAAACTATGTGTATTAGGTAAGTTGGGTTTACTTATGTGCATTATCAATTTTTGATAAAAAAAGTTGGGTTATTATTCAAGCATAATGTGTAAGTGTACAAAACTTCTCTCATCGACCAACGAATTTTATTCCATAAGTGAGAACCACACTGTATTTTAACTGTTAAATTAGTCCTAAATGATCACAAAACTTTCCTACTTCGTGAAACATTTTTAATGGTTTTGAGAGCTTTTAGTATTAGATGAACTAAACAAAAATATAATAAGAGTCTTTTTGTTGCAAAATTTAAACATAATTTATAAAAACTTGATAGTCTCAGAGAAAATGACTACTTTGTAAAACTTTAAGTTTTAAATATCATTAAAAATCATGTTTGTGAAAGCAACATAAATAAATATTAATTAAAAGTTTTAAAGACAAACAAACTAAAATACCATAATTAAAAATTAAAATTCTGCGCTTCGGTTTTAAGCATAATTCAATTTATGACAATGTTTTTATTTAGGAAATGAAACGAGGCTTTAGTTATCCGATTTATTAATTATAATTATCAACTAACAAACTTAGTAAAATTTCATAGACAAAAAACTTTATTTTAAAATTGAATTTTTAATTAAAACAAACCAACTACAAAAGTTTTATAATAAAACAGTCAAACACGCAAATAAACGCGTAAACTTGTTTGTATTTTATGTACAAAAGAATATTTACAAAATAATGCAGCAATGGCAAAACAAAAATAAATAATTTTAGGATACCAGACAAGCACGTTTTGTAGCATCCATTATTAAATGAAAGACAAAGTTAGTTAGGCATTCTTTATTAGATCCAAAAGTAAATACAAATTAATGACTGGGCTTAAAATTAAAACTGAGCGGAAGAATTTGGCACAAATGTTAAAACCTAATTCGCTAAATTTACAACATTTAATGGATTTTTGTTTTTTAATAATGATATAAAGAATATACAAGAAATTGAAGCTTAGAACAATTTTATAAAACGTTTTTTTTTTGGGTGGTTCAAAAAATAAATGTTGTAAATATTTATTCATTTATTTATTTATAGGAAATTTAATACATTGTTTTTGGACTTTTTTCAAATCTGGACAAATTCACCAATTCACTAAGTATAATTATGGACATTTTTGTGATAATTTTAGTGTATTTTGAATATACAATATACAATGTTAAGAATAAAAACATTTTTTTTTTGTAATTTAGTCGGTTTTAATATACAAGGTGTCCCTAAACTTAGTGGCATAAATGTAGGAGCAGATTAAGCAAGTCAAAATAAGACGAAAATCTAAATAAATATTATTCTTAATAAGGTATGTTTAAAAGATACAGGGTGATAAAGTGTTACTTATCATATCAGTTTTTTTAATATAACTTCTACTATGGTAGACTTGAAAAGGTGATATTTTGCGAACAGTCACTTACTACCAAAACATATATTCACACATAATTAAAATTGTTCGAGTGAACGCAGTGTCGTAGAAACAGGGGTTGCTTAGCTTAGCTTATTGTCCCATACAAACTTTGAGGTTAGGTGTTTCTACCATTTGATGCAATTTTTCGATTACTCAGTTCGGCTACTATTAATAAGATGTACCTCTCAAACTTTGATAAAATAAACCGTTTCCGAGATATTCGAGATTACAATAATTAATATATCGGACTAAAAGGTATATAACAAATTTTTTAATTGAAAAAACTACAATTTTTTTATGTGACGGTCAGGGCAAAAAGTCCCGAGGCTCATGGAATGCCCTTTTTAGTTTTTTCAATTAAAAAATTAAATTTGTTATCATATCCTTTTAAATAATGCGATATAACAAATATTGTAATCTCGAATATCTCGGAAACGGTTTATTTTATCGAAGTTTGAGAGGTACACCTTTTTAATGGTAGCCGAACTGTGCAATCGAAAAATTGCATCGAATGGTATAAAAAACTAACCTCAAACTTTGTATGGGACAATAAGCTAAAGCAACCCCTGTTTCTACGACACTGTGTTCACTCAAACAATTGTAATTATGTGTGAATATATGTTTTGGTAGTAAGTGTTCGCAAAATATCATGTTTCCAAGACTACCTTAGTAGAAGTTATATTAAAAAAACTGATATGATAGGTAACACTTTATCACCCTGTATCTTGGAAACAAGTAATTAGGAAAAATATTTATTTAGGTTTTTGTCTTATTTTGACTTGCTCAATCTTTTCCTTTTAGAACAATTTTAGGATATTTTTTTTTAAATTTATTATCCTGGATTATTTAAGACCTTTAATATTTATTATTTAAGAGATTTTAGAACAACTTTAGGATAGTTCTTAACATATTTATATATAAAACTACACTGGAATATTTAAGACATTTTAGGACAATTTAAGAATAGTTATATTTAATTTATAAACTCTAAAATTTATTTAAAATACATTTAATAAGAAGTCAATAAAACAAGAAAAATAACTTAAAAAAATCTGACAAAAGCATTCTGGAGTCATTTGGTAGAAGAGTTTTCGTATTTTTGGATGCGCACGTGATAAAATTTAGATGCTACATTCGTATAAGAAATAGGTGCTTCTGTTAAATGAGCCATACGAATCTGCCGGTTTTTTCATCGCGGTATATTTCTGAATAGAAGCCTTTATGGGCCGACGTAAATAGGATAGGTGATTATTGCTCGACTTGGCTCCTCGTTGTTCTAAACAAATTGCGTTTTTCTTCTCGCGCCCTTTATCTGACTTTATTTATTAACGTTTTATCTTTTTGTTGCCAGAAATCCTAACGAACATCATAAACAAGACACAACGTTGCTGGCGTCCAGGGAACGGAACAGGTTCAAGTCGATTGTATGGGACGAATATGACTCCGTTCATCAGAAATACTTGGAAATAGGTGAGTTTAATAATATTTTTTTACTCCCACTATTAAAACGACCATTATGGTACATGTTTCCATGACACTAAGGCCCGGTTTTATCATCACTAGTTAAAATTAAATTACTACTTAATTGGTAGTTAATTTGTTTTTGTGTTTTACAATAGGTAGTTATTTATCAAAGTGTAGATTATGATTGAGTTTTCGTAACTACGACTTCTGGTATTAGTAAAGTTGTGGTTAACCTAAAAATACGTTTAATATAGTGCTAATTTTAAATATCAATTTATTGAACAAAAACTTTTGTAAACGGGAAGAAATGTGAAAAAAATATGGAAAACTATACATAAAATAATTAATATAAAACCTAGAAAAACAAATAATAATAAGACAGACAGACTAAAATACAAAAATAAAGAATACAGAGTAAAGAAATAGCTAATATCTATAATAAATTCTGTACTAAAGTTGCTAAAGAACTGCCAAAATATATAATAATACCTGATATAACATTTGAAGAAGTTACAAATAATAAAACTATTTTTATGTCCCCTTGTACAATACAACCATACTGGCAATTTTCCTGAAAAATGTAAAATATATAAGGTTCCTCCTATATACAAAAAAGGTAGTAAAGAAGATCCAGGAAACTACTGTCCAATATCTATTACTATTTTCTCTAAAATTATTATGTTTAAAAAATAATTTTTATTAGGAAAAAACATACATTGATTTTTTTTCAATTTATATTTTTCACTTTTAACAGCGATTTCCGGTAAAATTCTATACCAACCTTACAAAAATATGTCAAAAGTTGTGATTCTGCAACTAATATTTCAAAATGCGTGAAAAAACAGATTACAATTTAAATAACAATTTGCCGCTAGTTAAATATATATAACTGTATATATAATTATAAGTTATAACTTACGAAAGTGCTAATTAAATGCAATATTGAAAAACCGGGCCTAAGTGCTTTATTAAATACACATTCACAAGTTGTGGCTTTATTGCGTTTTAGTCACGGGCTGAATTTAGCAACAGTTTTTAGTCACGACAAAAGTTTGTTTTAAGTTAGTTAACAGTTTTAAATGTCATACAATCGTTAAAAAATGCCCTTTTCGTGAAATATTATTGTGAAAATTATTGTATCAACTTATTACAAAAATAAAAAGTATTAAATAGTTTCTCAACGCCAATATCTATTTAAAAATTTATATGAAAGTTTGTACTGACCTTTTAATTTTGCCGACAGTTAAATAGTTTTAACTAAAAGCATTAAAACATTTGGGTGGAGAATCCACTGAGAAGGGCCCATAAAACATTCTCTTCACTTTCACTGCGAAAAACTGCTTCTATATCATCGTTTGTTAGTTCATTTTCAAGGAATGCATTTCGATTTTCACATACAAATTTGACATTTTAATGGTAATACAGATTTCCAAGTTAGAAATCGTTACGCGAGTTACTATTTTTTTATAGATGTCGCTTTATACCAATATTTAATTAAATCATTGTTAGATAATAATAAGTATTTGTCGTAGAAAAAGTATAGTATGCAACTCGTTTATAAACTTTTCTAGACACACATTTAATTAAACCCTCGCTCGCAAGCTTGCTTGTGCCTAATTAAAATTCGTGACTAAAATGGAGTTACATAATATACTGTTTTCCTCAACAGTTTCTATATTGGCAATTTTAAACATTTCTAAAAAATGTTATAAAAAACAGTTTTTTTAGTTTATTATATATATAAAATTATTCTACACAAAGACAAAAATAATGCTATATTATTAAATTTACTTCCTTGCGTTTTTGCACAAAATTTGATTTTTGGGGGTATTCACGTTTTAAATCATACTTTTATCGGCCGTTTATCAAATATTGACCCAAATTAGAGTTGCAAATATTGCATTAATATTCAAATGCATTAAGCTTTCAATATTCATTATTAAATTAATGAGTTTAATTTTCATTATGCATTACTTTTTTTTAATGAAAACTAAATTAATTTTCATTGCATTTTTTCCAATGATTCTGTATTCTTTTTTACACTACTCATTTTTAATTTGTAATGAGTGCACGTTTATTTTTTATTTAATAGTCACCTTTATTGAAGAAAAATATTAAATTTTATGAAAATTATTAATCTTATTAGAGAAAATACTTGGTTCAAGTATATTGATGTTTCAAGAAAATGTTTACGGAATTATAGACAATAAAGAACATATTTTCTAAATAAAGTAAGTAAATAAAGTAAGAAAAGTATTTTGCTTCAAACAAAGCCTCAATTTTTTATTTTTTTTTTGATCTTTCAAAGAAGTCATTAATCATTCTGATAAAAATTATATATTACGCATATACATGTATATTATGTACACATGTATATTATGTACACATAGAAAAATAAAGAATTACTTATTTTATTAGGTTGTTGATTATTTTATATTTAATTACAATCAACCCCCACCCCCGATGGTTTTTCACAGTTAAACTTCTCTAAAAATGAATTTGTCAAAAATGACTATAGTTAAGTACTACAGGGCAATTCCAAACAGGACGAAAAGAAAGAACACAAAATGTTTTATGAATATTTTTGAAGTTGTGTTCCTATAACAATAATTTTATGATAGTAATTATTAATTAATTTTATTACTGAGAACTATTATAAAATTATTTTTATAGGATGAACACATCTTTAAAAATCTTCATAAAACATTTTGTTTTTTTTTTCTGATGGTCTCCTTGGTAATGAAATCGCCCTACAGTTATTAGTGGCTGCTAATAACTAATACCATAGTTAATCATGGGATACCATGAATGTTAAATATTGGTGAGACCACCAATATTTAACATTCTTATGTAAAATTGTCCCCTGAATCCGAAAATACTATCATTTTTGAGTAATGCATTACTCTCTAAAAGTGAATTATTTAAAAATGACTAATTGTCATAGCGAAAAAGCAGCCACTAATAATTCTCTACAATAGCAATTTGTATCCCGAACATTAAGCAGTCAACCCATGGGTCATAACCCATATCTTTTGTTACACATTTTTTTTAATGTGTTATGTACGGACTTTTAATACTCATTTTTAATTTTTTTATGAGAATTGTATTGTTCAACATTACTCATTAATTTTTGAATGAGTAATGAAAATATTTCACATTAATTTTTTTTAATGATTACATTACATTATTTTTTACATTAACATATTTGCAACTCTGACCCAAATACTTTTTACAAAATTTTCAAATTCAGCGGACATTTTTCCAAAGAATTGCCTGTTAAATGTCCGTGATAAAAATTGAAGTTGATTAGTTTAATCTGTGTTCTTTTAGACAGGTTCTTGTAGAAATTTGTTATCCATTAAATATACATTCTCTGCATTCTGGCACTTGATGACAATTCGGCGAAGTTTGCGCATAACAATAAGAGTGCATTAGCTCGTACACGTATCACGAAACGTTCGCGAATTTATTTTAGCCAAGTTATAACTATAGTACTTCGCAGCGGAATCGCTGAATAATATCCGGAGCAATAAAAATTTAGACTCCCTCACACACACACACACACACACGATGAACTCGACTCGAACTCAAACTCAGTCAACTATAAAACACTACTCTCAGCTAACTGAGAACTACAAGAATAAGATAATCGTAAAAACGAGGGATTCAGGAAATACTACCGTTTAAGATTGTATTAATAAAATTGGAAAATACTTAAATTTAAAAACTTCTCTTTAAATATTCTTTATTTAAATATTCCACGTAGCAAATATAAATTGAGATTTCATATTTGTATACAAAAATTTCTATTGTAATTTTACTAAACATGTTTAGGAAGTTTTTACGCACCACAATATAGTAATATTAAAACTTAGTTTGGTAAATTCATTACACGATTCATTACAACTCAATTTGGAAAAATGACAAAACGTTTGTTGAAATTCACTAAGCATTTATTGAAAATTTGTAATTTGTAAAATATTGTAATTTTGCTAAAAAAATACTAAATGTGTTTAGTAATTTTAAAATGGTGAATTGTAATTATACTATACAATTCATTTAAAATCAGTTTAAGAAAATTACAAAATATATTTTACAATTTTACTGGACTGAAGAAAATTCATTTCGCAACATTACATTATTTTATACAACAAATTACACCAAAATTATTTAGTAATTTGTATTTGAACACACCAAAAATGAAAGACACCTGAGCTTATATACTGTCCACCTAAGTCAACCAAGGCGAGATGTAAGAAAATCACGTGATTGCCGCAATCGGTACATACTATGCATTTTACATAACATTATAGCAAATCAAATTACAAACAACGTTTGTAAATCTGAGATGCTTTTTATTAGAAACTGTCAAACTGTTTAGTAAAATTACAATGCGTGTATACCTATAGATTGTAAAATTACAAATTATCTTATTAGGTTTCCCAACATGTCTTGGAAGATTACTCAAATTATAATTTTGTTTTGTTTTTTACACTGCTTTGTAATTTTACTCATCCTTTGTTATGCAAAACAATTGTAATATTACAAAAAAATTTAACAGAATAGTTTTAATAGCCATTCTCGGGTTCGCCGAGCCGATGCTATACGCCCAGCAGGGTATAGAGGAGGAGGGACTTCCTCCCGGGATAGACGTTTGTTGGTTTTTGGGGGACAATTACGCCGACTTAAAACTAAGTACGACGCGGAATCCCCCTAGACCAGTCGATTAGTATTACTCCAAACATTTGGGATTACTATTTGGAGTTGGGGAGTTATTTCGCTGCCGGGGTGTAGTTTTCTAGTCGAGGTCATCGTCTTGTTCGTTATGGTCATTGCCCGTGTCTTGATGCCGAAAACCATCAATAGATAGTTCAGTGCTGGATATGTAACTTGTAGCTTTTGGTGTTTTTTTTTAAATTGTTTATTGACGCAGTAGTGCGAAATTTCTAACAATTTTTTTTTAGTTATTGTGTTGCCCAAGCACGTTTTGTGGTAGAGTTTTGTCT